GAGAGAGAGAGAGAGAGAGAGAGAGAGAGAGAGAGAGAGAGAGAGAGAGAGAGAGAGAGAGAGAGAGAGAGAGAGAGAGAGAGAGGGAGCGGGAAAGATTGTGGAGGGAAAGAGAAAGATCAGGCAGGGAGGGAGGGAGGGAGGTTCGAGAGGTAATGAAAAAGAGACGGACAGACAGACACAGAGGGAGAGAGGCAATGAAACAGAGAGCGAGGGAGGGGGAAAGATCAGGGGGCAACACACAGAATGGGCAACAGAGCCCGATTCTGTGTTCCCTGGGCAGCCACAGGCCTGAGGTAAACACCTGGCACATCAGACATTGCATCCAGGGCCACCACATGCCAGTCTTCGGTTCATTGGGAAATCCCGATGATCCAGGTTACGGATGAGCCAGCCTTTTCTTTCCTTCACCACGAAGGTTTAGATAATAATCAATTATCAAATCCTGATACTAGTTTTTCTCCATGCATCAAAGCCACGCTTGTTTATGGAAATTGAATCCATACACAGAAGGTGCAGAGGCCGTCTTCAAACATTATAAGAGGAGGGGTTGCTGACTGTATCTGCATCCAACAGGAATTGTTTTCAGGCTCTGAGCACGTACCAACCACAAGGAGAAATATTGGCTGCCTTATCGGCCTTAAAAGTTTTATGTGCTCAAGATGACCATCGCGCCCTCGTTGTCATTCAGAACCCACCAATCCTCGGGCCCACAGAAGTCCCTGCGATCGACCCGTACCTTTTCCTCTGTGTATGGCAGACGGATAAAGATGCAATGTGGATAATAACGTGGATAATGTGGATAATGTGGATAATGTGGATAATGTGGATAATGTGGATTGTGGATATTGCGCAACATGATGGAATGTGGATAATGTGGATACTGATGGATAATAATGGATTGTGGATAATGTGGATAATGTGGATAATGCGGATAATGTGGATAATGTGTATAGTGTGCATAATGTGGACTAGATGACCCGTTGCGGCTTCGCCCGCAAAAACAGAAAAAGAAAAAAGCACAAAAGAAAGAAAACGCATAAGGAACTGCCCTATCATATGCCGCTTCTTTCACAATAAGAAAAAGAAGAGCCTGAGAGCAGACGAAAACCCGCGTGCAAGAAAATAGCAGGGAATACCACCGAACATTCTTTTTTCTTCATCTTTGTGTGTTTTTTTTGGGGAGCCGTTACCTTTGTAGCATCGCGTGCAAGAAAATAGCAGGGAATACCACCGAACATTCTTTTTTCTTTATCTTTGTGTTTGAAACAGTTTTCACCTTTGGCAGTAGCCGATGCAGATCCCAGGGGTCGATCCCTTGACCTCAGCTTACCTGTGTACAGTATCTGCACAGTTCCCTGGAGTTGAAC